CTGTGCAGCCCGCAGGAAGACCAGCATGCATCATTTGCATTGCCTGCATGTCCCTTGCAAAGACAGGTAGTATCAGCGCGAAGGGCTTGCTGCTAAGACCAGGTCAAAGGCATCGAGGGATGCTGCGTCCGTTTGGAAATTCTTCGTAATCTCCTCTACGCACATTGAAACCCACCAACCCATCTACTATTGAATGTTCCCTATAGTTGCTTGTTTCCAACAAAGCTCTGCACTCTTTCGTTGCGGCACCTTACCTTTCCGATTCTGGGAGTTTTGGGAGCCGATCCAGCAGCAGGACAATCAGCGAGCCCAGAGCAGGCCCTCTGGGCAGGTGTTAAACACACAAGCTTTCCTCAAAAGCGTTACGTACACAGCCGGAATCTTCTGCGAAGCCCGGAAGCCCCAAAGCCACTAAGCCCAGTTCATTTGGTAAGCTTGTCTCATGGTTTGCCACCCTCAGCTTCATGCCATCTGAAGCTCACCCGGAAGTATCAGTATTTTGGTAGCAAAGCCGCGTTGCTGCAGCTTTTCGTGCCAGACCCTAGCCTTGAGATATAGTCCCCCCCTTCAGTAGATAGGGTTTAGGGTTTAGGGTTCCCCCTTCAGTAGATAGAATATGGGGTGTATGGGGATCAAATACTAATATACCCAAAGTCATATTCTATCTACTGAAGGGGGATTATAGCATGTCCAAAGAGCTCGGATTCCCTGCTAGGACTAGTTTTCAGTTGCCCGGCCCTCCATCACATAGGCAAAGCAACATAGCACACAAGAAGCAGGGGTTGCTCAGTTTCCCGTCAGCTCCTTAAATGTCAACTCACCCTCTTCCGGAGCAACCGCTTTGTTTGTCCATGCTTTTCCAGTGTGCCAGCGCTTTCCAGGAACATTTCCCTTTAGCTTAGAAGCCCCGCCTGCCCTAGGCACATCTGCAAAGTGCGATGCCACCAACATTCAACCGCAATCATCCGCAATCAGGTCTTTGGGTTGTATCTGCGTAACCTGACAAAGCCATTCTGCTGGTTAATGCGTGAAAGCTACCACGATCGTTGACTTCTCTCTGCTTCAGGTGCAGTTGAGAGACTGAACTTCAAGAGCCGCCTGAGTGTCTACAAACCTGAAACCTGGAAATACGTGGTAGTTACCCAAAATCAGGGGACCCCAGTATAGACCCTAAAATATTGGAATCCTTACTATGGGGATCTCAAAAAAGGTGCCCCACCATTTTGGGAAACCCCACATGTATGATGAATTCCTAAACTCTAAAACCATTTGAGCCTAAAACCCTAAAGCCTAAACCCCCCTAACCGTGAATGACTTGGAAAGATGCCAATCAAGAGCTGTGCAGAAGTTGCCCGCATGCCGCCTAACGCAGTGCTCGGAGCCTCAGACTCCCAACCCTAAACCCTAAACCCTACACCCCTAAACGTCCAGCATGGGAGATGGGCAAAGCCGTTACTGCGACCTTATTCAGCCAGCACTCTAAGGGGGATTTAAAGAGGAAAAGGTACTACTTTTGCATTTACATGAGGGTTTGCATTTCAATGGCAAGGAAAGGTAGGTGTCCAGAAATCCTTCCTTTCAAGCCTTTCACTTGTGTTTCACACTTCTCGACATGCGTACCTCATGCCGCAGAGGCAGTGGCAGGGTGTTTGAGAACGCTGCGCCACCAAAGCCTAGATCCTACAACCTTCATCACCCGGATTGGCTGCTAGTGTCTAGGCTTTGAACACATTTGTTGCAGCTAAGTAATAAAGGAAGTGCCTGCGCTCACAAGTCGAGGATTTGCCTTTCTTGTGCCTTCCACAACCATTGCGCATGGCTTGCGCGCATCCTCGCATTCAGTAAGGTGTTTGCAGGCTTCGTTCTGCATGCATATGCCTCAAGAAAGGGGTTGAATTGGATGGTAGACTTAAGGCACCAGTTGAGCTAGCTGCAAGAGAACGGATATCATTCTATTCAAAACATGACCATTTGGATTTGTGCTCTTTCAACCGCGTTCACATGGGGAACATGACGCCTGACCTTCCTGGATGCGTGATTTTGACGAGATCTAATTACTAGTCTCCAGATGCGGCAGCATTATTTTAGATGAGAGTTGGGGGTCGATTTCTTAACGTTGGACTGTCCGTTTACATGGTGTTTGTACTTTCTATCCGGGACTTCCTTGCCTTCGCCCTAACCGCTGTGTTCCACGGTGTTTCGAAGTGCCTCATGGCTGGAACAGGCCCAAAAGTTTGTAGGGTCTAGGGCATGCTGGGTGGTATATCCCTCATCTGCAAAAGCAAGGCAGCCGGCACGGGTGTCAGCAGAATTGAGGCGGGCACAGAACGTACCTGGGTGCAGATGCCATCCAAATTGCCAAGGCGTGTTCAGTCTGGTCTTTGGGAGCTCTTACTTACTTGGCAGCGAGTTTCAAACTTGCAGGCTGGCTGTAGTCCTAAACCGTAGACCCTAAACCTTAAACCGGACCAGGCCATCACCGGATTAGGGGATGGATGGGAGGCAGGCACTTGCCAAGACAGCCCACCTCTTACTGCTTAGCCGGTCCTCACATGGTGTTTGGGTGAGAGCTAGTCACATCATGATTTCTGTTGCCTTCTGCTACAAAGCAACCAGGACGCTTTAAGTCGCACACTTCTTTGTTTTCATCCGGAATGACACCACATGGTGCCAGACAGCACTGCTGAAATGACATGATGGAGGACCTTTCATTGACGGAGGATGACAAGGGAGATGTTACGCCAAAACCATCTTTCTGTACCCATGAATATTAGGTGCCGTAATATCATCTATAACCCAAAGGGGCCCATAATTTTGAGAACAATCCAAATAGAGACTCCCCTGAACTTATGCGCTGGACATGCAGTCTTCCAGGTGGTTTCAGAGAGCCCCGGATTTTGCCTTCATTGTGTCTGTGTCTTTAGCATCAGGCTGGGTGCAGACCAAACCACGGAGCCGTGTGAACCTTTTCTGAGGAAGCCTAGCCCAAAAGCCTAAACCCGAAGCTTGTCAAGCAAGGTTGTTGGGTGCTGGCAGGCAGCAAGTGTAGTAGGGCAAGGCGGAATCCTGTAGGTGAAGTCCAAGGCCATTTCTGCTTCGCTGATGCACCTTTGAAGTCTGTGGGTCCCTTTAGCAGTACCTGTGCGCTTATGCATCTATGCAAAACGCAAGAAAAGCATTAAGCCTTCGACCAGTGGCGGCACGCTTCCTCCGCACAATTGATGGAGGTGCCTTGCCTTTCCCTGGACGGAGGGAAGACATCGAAAAAGCGGGTGCCTTGCCTTTCCCAGGCCAACGACAAGGTGTCAAACAAAAGCACATAGCTATGTGCGGTGCCAGCAAGGTAAAGGAGGTGGCCCCCTTCTGGGAGACCTCTGCCTTCTCTACATCTCCCTGTTCTATCAACTCCTGAGCTGGGAGGTGTGGGCCTTGCTTTGAGTCTGACCGTGCAACCTGAGGTGCAACAAGGGATGCAGTCAAAAAGGGGGGGTTATGGGTTATGGTTTGGGGTTTAGGCAGTGCTTCCTTCATTGGTTTTTCTTGGCAATTCAGAGAGAGATGGACCATGCAGAAAGGTGTCGCTAAAACATCAAAACTGAAATCGTAGTTTCCATTTTCATTTCCATTGTTTTAGTACCTTCCATTTTCTTTCCATTTATCCCTATATAATCCCTAAACCCTAAACTCGAAAAAATGTAGCAGTAAAATAATGTAGCAGCTTCCATTTTTTCTTTTCCACGATCCCTGTGGGGCAACATGTCCGGAAGTCTCTTCTTGCTTGACGAATTTTATTTTTCTGAGGTTCTAAGGTTTCAGTGCCCCAAGTATGGGCCCTTAATATGGGTCTAGGGCTTAGGGATTATAGGCTTCACGGTTTCTGAATCACCCTAGCCATGAATTCACGTAAATACTTCCAGGCAGGGCGACGATCCATCAAGAAGCATTCTTTGACGACTTGTCGTTTTCCCTAAATCCTAAATCCCTGAACCCTGAATTCATAAACCCTAAGCCTGAAATCCTTAACCACTAAACCCCTAAATGCAATTAAACGCCGAAACCTTAAGTATTCTTTACTCCCCTGGATCACTCTTCCACCACTCCGGGTTTGCAGTCTTCCTTCGGAACTAGGTTTCATGTGGAGGTTGATGTATAGGTTTTATGGTTGTTAGGGCAGTTGGTAGTTACCCAAAATGAGAGGACCCCAATAAAGACCCTGAAATGCTACAATACTTCTTACGCGGACCCTCAATAACTTGCCCCCAATTTTGGGAAACCGTAAACCCTATAATATTCTCCATATGTCTTACCTCTATATCCTCTTTGAAGCTACTCTGTACCCCTACTTTTGGGAAAGCCCCGTTTGCTGCAGGCTTGAGGGAAGGGGCCGAACACAAAAAAGCACATGTTCACGTGCTACCTGCTAGATCTTACGTGGGGTTCCAAACAGGGGTTTAGGATTTAGGGTTGCCCAACATAGACTCTCCCAAAATGCTATAATCCTCATAATAGGATAGACGCCCATCATCTTGGAAACCCCCAATCTATCCTTGCCCCGAGTCTTTCTTCAAAGTGGGATTTCGAGGATGTTTCCAAGTTCCTAGCCATGGGTTTCTAGTGCCCCTCACTCAATTGGGTTTTTAGGGGCTTATTGGGTGCATAGGTAATATACAAGGCCACTAGAATTGAGGACCCATACTAGGGGCCCATAGTTCAAGCCTTTCAACGTTTCTCTACTCAGACCCTGGGACTCCGATGCAGGATGCAGGACCCGGTTTCAGGGCCGTGAAACATTGATGCAGGATACCGCTGGATGAAGAATCCTAAGCCCTAAACCCTGAACCCTAAACCAAAAACCCTGAACCCTAAATGGGGTTCCTAAAATTAGGGTGGGGGTCCCAATAACAAGGATTATAGTATTTGGGGCTCTTTCTTGGGGTCCCCTTATTCAGGGGAACTACCAAATCCTAAATCGCGTGTGGCTCAAAGTTAGCTTTCTTGAGATTCTGCACCAGCAGACATCTTCTTGTTGTCTGATCGACTCGGAGAGCCACAGCTGCTGGGCACGAGTTGTAGTCAGATTGCTGTGTGGATCTAGGGTATAGGGTTTAGATTATAGCTCCATGAAACAGTTTTTTTCAAAGCCTCTGAGTTTTGACACAGGAAAGCTGCAGCTTGGCAGCGTGGCAATGCATATCATGCAGACAGCGATTTGGCTGCTAGTGTCTGGGACATTTCTGGAAACAGGTTTAAATTATCACGAACCAGAATTCCTATGCCATCTTTTTAAAGCGGCAAAAAAAACAGGTATCTACAGAGCCGCAACCCTAAACCGAAAATAGTGATTTTCATTTTCTTCTCCATCATTCTTATACAACCTCTATATGATCCTACATGAGCTATAGTCTAAACTCCTTAAAGGGGGATTATATAGGGGACTACTATAGGGCTTATTAAGGGGGATACTAGGAGTTTAGACTATAGCTCACATAATCCCCTCCCTGAACCCTAAACCC